CTGTCTGTTGCCATGGTGCTTATTATCGACTTATTTACCATGATAATAAGTGATTTATTGAGCACGTGTTATTGTTGATCTTGAAGTGCGTGGTCGGAGTCTCAGTTGTAGGATTAGAATGTTCTTCTAGTTATGGCGGTTGTGAGCCATTTATAATAATTATTTATATTTTTAAAATTTTTTTTCTTAGTAATTCTTGAGACTTCAATTTATTTTTTTTGTGCTACTTCAAAATATGTCTTGATCTTCTTACCTTCTTGTATGTGTGTTACTAGTTCACTCTCGGGGTCACCAAATTGTTTGCTCCCTGTCTGTTGCCATGGTGCTTGTATATTTGCTGCCTTGGGTATTGATTTACGATAATAGTTTACCATTCCCAAAAATCTTCTGAGTTCTATAACTGTCGAAGGTTTTGGATAATTAATAATTTTCTTTACTCGGTCTGGTGAAGGAGAATATCCTGCAGCACTCAGTTTGTAACCGAGGAAGTTAACTTCATCTTTTCCAAAGGCACATTTCTCTAAGTTTATTGTAAGAGAATATTCCTGTAGCCTCTCAAAAACCAATTGAAGATGACGACGGTGCTCATTCATATCAGTCGACATTACCAGGATGTCGTCTATATAAATGAAAACAAAATTAAAATCTTGGAATATGTGATTGATAAACCTCTGGAATGTCTGGGCAGCGTTTTTGAGTCCAAATGGCATACGTAGATACTCGAAGAGTCCCCATGGTGTGATAATTGCTGTCTTTTGTATATCCTCTTCATGCATGGGTACTTGGTGGTAAGCTTTTTCTAAATCTATTGTAGAAAATACTTCTTTTTGATGAAGATTATTGAATACATCTTGTATTAATGGTGGAGGATACCTGTCGGGCAGCGTGTTTGCGTTCAGCCTCCTGTAGTCTCCACACATTCTGAATGTGCCATTCTTTTTGGGAACCATGTGAATAGGGCTTGCCCATGGACTGTTGGAAGGCCTCAAAATGCCCCTATTCAGGAGATCTTGTATCTCGGACCTGGCTGCAACAGCCTTTTCTCCGAAGATCTTCCTGAATCTGGAAGCTAATGGTGGACCTGTTGTGGTTATCCTGTGGGCAAAAAGAGATGATTTATTATTGGTGGTTACCTGTGGCTTTGTTATTGCGATGTATTGTGCCAGTAAATCCTTGAAGGGCTCTGCCGGGTTGACAGTGGAGATGTTAACTTGCTGTGCCTTGAGTACCTTTCCATCAGAGGTAAGGCCTGTAGTCGAATCAATCAATCTTCTACCCTTCAAGTCTATTAATAAATTGTAGTTGCTTAGGAAATCAGCTCCTATTATGGCTGTGGCTACATCGGCAACAACAAACTGCCAGCTAAAGCTTCTGCGTAAAGATAAATCCAGCTCCAGAGTTCTCTTTCCATACGTGGATATTCTGCTAGAGTTTGCTGCAAATAGAACTAACTCTTCCTTAGGATGACCATCGGCAAACTTCTGAGCTGGTAAAATGGATATAACTGATCCTGAATCTATAAGAAATTGGATTGCCGTCTTTCTGTCTGATATATGAAGACGGAGCTCAGAGCAGACAGAATTTACTTCACCGTCATGGCAAGCTCCACTTAATGACGGTGAAGTAAGTTTTTTGACTGGTTTAGAGATTTAAGGAGGCAAGGCTCTTCACACTTTGTGGCCTTCTCCCCATATCTGTAATGATAGTAGCAAACCGATCCACGTGAAGGTGTCCTGGACCTATGTCGAGAACCACTTCTAGAACTTGACTGATTGAGTTGTTCACTTCTTGATCTTGACTGGTTGAGTTGTGATTCTTGCTGATCATTTCTCTGTCTTTCAGTGTTCAACATTGCCTTTAGTTCCTTGATTTCCTGGACGCATGACATAAGAAGAGTTTCGTGGCGGTCCAGTCTCTGTTCTACTGAAGACTTGTGTGTTGTGGACATCACATGTGATGTGGGGCTACAGTGATCGACTAAAATATCGGCAACTTCCGCCAGGGCTTCCGGACCAAGATGGCGAGAAACTATTAATTGTGGCCGAATATGGTGTGGCAGGCGTTCTGACCACAATTTAATTATGATGTCTTCACTGACCTCTCCCTTAGCCAAATTCATCATTTCTCGTAGGAGCTGTGATGGTTTCTTCTCTCCTAGAGTTAAGTTTTTTAATAGCTTGTCAATTTGCTTACCTCTAGATTCAGACATTATGCTTAATATAGTGTTTTTGATATATTCGTATTTGCCTGTCATTGGTGGATTACGGAGGACATCCTGGATGAGGCGCAGTGTCTCAAAGTCTAGGGCTTTGAGTACTGCTGTGTACTTAGTATCGTCACTCCTGATCCTAGCAGACTGAAACTCATGTTCAATAACTAAAAACCATAGGTCTGGAGAATCTCCATTGAATGGAGTGAGACGGTGATTATTAAATGCTGCTATATTGTATTGATCAGCATAACTGTCATGTTCATGTTCAGAAACACGAGGACTGCTCGTGTTAAAGATCGCCTCGTGATCCAGATCGATCAGAGATCTGTTGAGCACTGTTTCGTCATTGATGGACGTAGATCGAGTCGACATGTTGATAAAAATTGGTATAATTTACCTTTATTAATGTACTTGTATTTGACAAGTGTTTTTCTTTCTCCGTCTGACGTCACCAATTATGGGTACTAAGACGTTGAGAATGTCTCTTGCTTAATGATTTCACTTACACGTTCGGAGTCACCAAAATATGGAGGTGTGGTAGTCCTCCATATTAATACCAATATTATTTATCCAAATTGTAGTAATAATAAATTCCATAAAATATTATTTATATTTGGTTTATTTTATGTATGATTAATATCCACGACACTATGTGTTGTCATATTTATCGTTAATAAAATGTGATTGGTATTTTCTTATTTATAATAGAAAAAGAAAGGTTTTGAAAATTATACATTTTGGCAAGTTCGACTAGGGAGAAACAAAAACCAAGTACGATCTGACACTTGAATTTCCTTTTGTTTTTTATGGAGGTGTGGTAGTCCTCCATATTAATACCAATATTATTTATCCAAATTGTAGTAATAATAAATTCCATAAAATATTATTTATATTTGGTTTATTTTATGTATGATTAATATCCACGACACTATGTGTTGTCATATTTATCGTTAATAAAATGTGATTGGTATTTTCTTATTTATAATAGAAAAAGAAAGGTTTTGAAAATTATACATTTTGGCAAGTTCGACTAGGGAGAAACAAAAACCAAGTACGATCTGACACTTGAATTTCCTTTTGTTTTTCTCAGTGCTGTCACTATATGGGCCAATCTGTCCAGAGACATGTGATGCGTGTTGACAAGCCGCTATGCGTGTTGGCAACCCGCTACATATATATATATATATATATATATATAATATATAATATATATATGGTGCCCTCACGGACTCGTGTCGAAGGGGTTGTGAGTTCAAAGACCGCTCTGGACACTCTGATATCAAGCAGTAGCGATGTCTTTTTCCACTTGAAATTATATTAAATATGTTTTTAATTAAAAATAGCCCATATTGGGGCATTGCGGTGTGAAATAGCAAAGGGAAATCTCTCTCACTATTCATCCCTGAATCGAGTTAACGTAGCTCACTTGCCTATCTACATTATGCAATTTTTTTAATAAGTTAATAATTCATTAACTAGCATTCGATTATTCATTATGCTAGTTTCACTTTATAATAAATTTTTGAGAACAAGGATTATAGCAGAAATGCATTCACTAATGAGTTTAACATGTGATTGGCTATGTTAATATTTGTTTTTCTAAATATGTGTATGTTACAGCGTTTCCCGAACCTTTTAGCTTATGTTAAAATCGCACTTTAATTATTTTTGCATATCACGTTATAAAATATATATGTAGATATTAAATAATAATAATTTATTTTGGATATAAAATCATTTGATTATTCATTTAGTCAACAAAGTTATAAAATAATTCTATAAAACAAGATATTTAAAAAAAAACGTATCAGAAACATATATTACCTCAATAAGCTTTAAAAATATGAAATAAAAAAAACTTATCTTTTAGATCATTTTTTTCGAAAACTAATTAAATTCGTTAAGTGTTACATGATTTAATAAATTTAGCTATTCTTTAATTGAAACTGAAAATATATCTGCAAGTGCAAATTCTATGAAATCATTTGAATTGATCCTTTTCCATTAGTTAATTTATATGATACTCTGAAAGATCACGAAACTTTTGTGTGTTAGAGACCTTTTTTTCAAAGATATCAAAATCTTTGAAAATCTTTTGGATATTTTATATGACGTGTGTGTAAGTACACGGCATCGTATTTTGAAAATAACCAATAACAAAAATATAAATTTAGAATAACATTTATAGATCTGAACAATTACATGAGCAAACTTAAAAAAAAAACAGATTTTAATTTTTGAAACCCTCAGTGTGCGGATTCTAGTTAGTACTTATGTTATTTTATTATGATTTTTATTGAAATTGATATATGTTGATGAATATAAAAAATATATTATTTGTTATATATTAGATATGTATTGATATTTGTTTTTAATATTTGCAGATGCATTGATCGTGAAAACTGTGTACATGAAGACTTTGCAAATGCGCAGTTGTACAAAGAATATGGAAATATGCAAAATTGTTTATGGTTACATCTTAGAAAATATTGTTTTTGCTGCAAAACTTCAGAAATTTGTTGAATGAAACCATGCTTTGATAAGATATAATAGTAAATATATGAAGTTAATGAAAAGTTTAGAATATGAAAGTAGTTGTAGCAAACGAGCTAATGTGTAGTTTAAGTGTAAACATTATCAAAACATCTAAATGTTAAATGTAACAGAAAGGATCAAATAGCATAGAGAAATGCCTAAACAGTCTGTTCAAGATATTCATAAAATGATAAATGGAAAAACACTTTGGTCGTGTAAGTTTTTCGATAATAACTAAATAAATTAGTACACCATGGAGGACAATTACACCAGCTCTCTAGCGTTCGATGTCAAGATGGGGAATATGACGATGGAGGATTGTGATCTTTTGCAGTACAACGGTACATACAATGAAACTATACATGGTGTTTTATGTTTAGAACATGCTCCAACCCTCACACATTCCGGTATGATTCGGGTGTGGGTGTTAACAGGAATGGCTTTGCTATCATTATTCGGCAATGCTGCGACGATTTTCAGCATCAGACGGTCGCGTTCCAGGCGTCTGGCTCGCCACTCGTGGAGCGCTGTTTATACGCTCATTCTACATCTCTCCATAGCCGATTTACTGGTGACTATATTTTGCATAGCTGGCGAAGCTGCCTGGAGTTATACGGTTCAGTGGTATGCAGGGAACTTAGCTTGCAAACTTTACAAATTTGTGCAGGTGTTTAGCTTGTACTTGTCCACGTTTGTGCTGGTGCTGATCGGGGTAGATAGATTTCTGGCCGTTCGCTATCCCATGCAGTCGTTGAGCACAATGCGTCGATGCCAACGGCTGCTTATTGCTGCGTGGCTGCTGAGCTTCATTCTGAGCACACCTCAGGTAAGTTCATATTTTTGTTTAAGTGTGTATTTTAGAAATTCTAGAAATGTTCTATATTTTAATGTTTAACATATTTAGCAATACATAAAGTTTACCATATGTATACGAAAAGATTTTTAAATATTTTATTATTTTTGGAAATACAGCTGTTTGATCTTGATAATTCCCTTCTGTCCCTTTCTTTCTACGAGACTTAAAAAGATTTTTTTCCAAAACAGTCTTTCAATACGATACCCGAGATTATTCGAGTTCTACTGAACCTGTTTAATTGAAACTTTCGGAGAATCTTCTCTATAAACTTCTTTCAGACCTATAATAGGCTCTCGAATCTCAAAATTTTCATCTTCACTACTTAAAAAAAAAATCGAGAAATTCGAAAAAAAAGATAAGATGACTTTTTTTTCAAACATTTACATTTTGCCAAAAATTTGTTTTTCAACTCAATTCTATTACATTTCATAAAGCCACATTATTATAGATTAATAATCTTTTTTCTCACGTCAACATTTTATGACCCTCGAGGGTTATGATGTGGATTAGGGAATGCAATACCGATGGAAAATTTCAATACCGGTATTTCGGTAATTTTTCATTTCGAAAGTTACTAGTACAAATATAAAAAAATGTATATACAACTACAACTATATTCAACTTAACAATAAAAACAATAAAATAAAACAATAAGTTTATTTTTTTTTTTAATAATAATTTAACAAAATTACATCCAATTTAATTAATTCATTAACACTATCGAGTATGTTGAGTAATTTTCACCAAAAACAAACTTATGAGTAAGAAAGACAAAAAACTCATTAAAATTCATATTACATTATTATAATAAACTGTATTGTCTGTATCCGATGTATTAAATCAGAATAATCTCCAATATTTAAGAAAAAATATTTCTACACTAATGTAATATCGGATACTTTGTCGAGATAAATAATAAGTTACTATAATTGTTGAGTATTGTTATTTAAATCAATGTGATGCTTCTATAGTATTTTCAAACTTCGAAACGTTTTCGAAAAATAATATTTTATAATTGTAATAAGAAGCAGAAATATTTAGTAATTATCATAATTATTATGTATAAAGTTAGAAAAAAATAAAGATTACGCAGGGGTAATCTGTATGATATAAAATATTTTGCGCATATGTCACTTAAAAAATTACTATCTGTCCACGATATGAAGCCTTCAGTAAAGCAATAAATATTCAATTCAATGACGAGTTGAGATAATATTTGACATTTGTTTATTCTATAGAATCACTTGAAGATATAGCTGTTGATGCGATTATGGAATTTAACGATAAATTTGTTCTGAGAAATTTAAACTTTAGTGTATTATGCATCAAATAGCGCTTATGTAAAAATACCGAAAAAAACGGTATTTTTGGGGTAAATATCGGTAAAAATACCGCCAAAAAATCGGGCGATTTACCGGTAATTCGGAATACCGGTAAACCGGTATTGCATTCCCTAATGTGGATCCACATCAACCGTTAATTGTTAATTTCCAAAATTATTAACTTTTTTGAAATAAAACTTCTTTAGTGTACTTTTGTAGTGTAAATCCGTACAAATGCAACGGAAGTGCATTACAGCAGATAAGTGTTGAGTGCCAAAGATTCGTCATTCGCTCTCGATGATATTTCTATACGGGTCGATTGTGATTAGTCGTTGCGTATGTGAATAGAGATCTGACGTTGTATGCGTGCAGATATCAACAAGAAAATCGGCGTAGATAAATAAACATTTTAAAGTTATGAAAAATGTCTGAAGTAAATGAAAAATGCCTGAATCAGAAGAATATTTTACCTTGTCCCCCGTAAATAATTATAATGAAAATAATAAAACAAATGCGGCATTTGCGCCGTGTATGAAACATAAGTTTATTGAAATAATTTCTATATTATTCGTCGTTTTTATAAATTTTTAAAGTTATTGAAATGAAAAAAATTTTTACGCAAAACGATATTACAGTTGTTCAAAGAATGAGATTATATCGCCAGCGAGAAAGTAAAAAAAATACCATCAGTCATTGCATGTATATTAATTTTAATTCCATGAAGGTTTTTAAACACAATTATTACATGATGAGTGAAGTTACAAAAACAATATTTATTTAGGCCTCGTTTAACATAATCCACTGTGTGAACGAATATCATAGAAGTTATTAATCAGCAATTACTTCATTTCCATAACGAAGGTTTATTTCTAAATGTTAATTACAATAACAAACCGATCATGTCATATTTGAAGTATGGCTTTAATTACATTCTTGTTTTTAAATATTATACATATTTTAATAAAATTATAAATATATAATTTTATAATTTATTTTTATATAAATGTGTATAATGGTTGACACTAATAAATATGTGCATCACGAGTTTTACCGTATTACAGATATACATTATTCAAAATTGTTTTATGATGTATTTATTTTTACTTAATTGCCATCTTGTACAGTAGCAAATAAGTTTCTCTTCAATCGCGTGTGAACTTTTCGCGCACTCTTTTTTGTTTTAATTTTTTTTCTGTACTCTTGTAGATGATAGTACAAACATTGATTGCTTTTTTGAATCGCCTAAAATCAATGTATCTACACTAAAATATCCCTTTAAGACATTTAAGTATATGAATTGTAATATCAAATCATTATCAATATAAAATGGTTCATCATACATCTATAAGTATAACCACTTAAACAATTCTTTATCAGGTAGAATTAAATTTTACTCATTATTAACACTAAAGAGTGTTTTAAAACTTTTTGTAAAAGTTACGTATTATTAAGGATATAATAACAAATGGCTTGAATGTCGAGAAAACATAAAATTAGCGAATTGTTTTTTTTATGGAAATATAAACTTCTCCTTCGGGAAGTTAAAAATATATTCAATTTACAGAAACATAACATTACATTCAAAATGTTACGAACTTGTCTAACAGTTCAATTCGAGCATTCGAAGCGTGCACATCGATAAGATATGGAGAGTGGTGAGTACGGCGAGAACGGTGAGTCATCACCGTCTCAGTACAATGTCAATAGAATCAGTAATTTAGGAACAAGCATTGCTGATGCAATGAAAACATATTATAATGAAGATTTAAATTCAACACAACAATGCTATAATAGTTTAATTAACAAGAAAAGTGAATATTCTAAAAAATTAAGTGATTTAGGCAATAAACTACATAGTGGAAAAATAGTGTTAGTATTAATTTATTAAATAAATCAATTAAAAGTGTTAAAACTGATAAAATTAAAAAAGTGACGGAAAGATTAAAAAATACTTCTAAAAAACTAGAAAATGTTAAAACTTCTATCAAGACTAGTGAAGATATCTCGGAAGAGTCGGAAACAAATTGGGATGAAAGTATGGAAGAAGAAAATATTAGTACAGAAACAGATAGCAACAAAATATGGATTTAGAATTAGAAGATCAAGATAATTTAGAAATTAATGAACCCATAAAAGAAATTAGCCAAAATAATGATATAAACAAAAATTCATATAATAATAAATATAAAAATTTGACCTACTCAAACAGTGATATAGGACCATTCATTATCTACGTGGAATCCAAAATATAAACAATGGAGTGGTACACCAAATGGCAATAGGCAAGCTTATGTTTAAAAATTTTCCACAATACAAACATGATATAATTGAAATAAGATCCATAGGAAAAACAGAATCAAAATTATATTTAATTACTATAATATAGCAAATAATATTATTAAGGACGAGGTGTTCGTTAAAAACAAATTGCGAGCATATATACCCACGTTCTTACTAATTAGGAAGGGTGTCATACACGGCATAGACGCTGATATGACAGATCAAGAGATAAGAGAAGATATAAAATCAGATGTTGAAATTTCAGATTTAAAAAGAATAAATAAAAAAGAAAATAATAAATTAGTGCCTACAAAAACTTGTGTAATAACCTTCAGGGGACAGCAATTACCTGATCGTGTGTCGATATATGCAGTCAAATTCAGGGTCGAACAATACAATAACATTACACAATGTTTTAATTGCCAAAATTACGGCCACGTGACTAATCAGTGTAAGGGTAAAACAAGGTGTAGTCATTGTTCAGGCGAACACAAGTATAAGGATTGTGAAAACAAAGAATCTTCTCCGACATGCGCATTATGCAAGGAAGAGCATCAGGCGAAAGACAAAAAATGTGGTAAATACTTATATCACATCAAAGTAAAAAATATAATGACCGACTATAATATAAGTTTTAGGGAAGCCAAGGCGATATTAAACAATAAAACATATGCTGATGTCATAAGACCAGATGTAGAAATTAAAAACAAAATCAATTTTCCGATCTGCCTGACGTACAGATAGAAAAATATACAAAACTATATCAACAGCCAGAAATCATAAGACCAACAACAACGGTACCTAAATCGACATATAAAAACAACAATAACATAAGCAGTACAAATCATAGTAATGTCAACAAAATAACGGGAGACCCACCCAGCGCACAGGAGCGAAATAGATACAAAAATAATTATCATAACACAACACAAAAACCCATAATACACGACAGGAGTGAGAAAAACGAAATACCACGTGATAATCAAACGATATTAAAAATTGAAGAAAGACACAGAAGAAGAAATGTAAAAGAATACTACGATAGAAGGAGGGAAATAAACAAAGACGATACTGAATGGAAAACTCCGAATAATCAGGAAGATAAAGATAGCAATAATGAAGAGAAAGAAAAGATGATAAAACGATACTGCAGAGAAATATTTAATAAGTTACAAACAAGACTAAGACATAAAACAAATGAAAAAACAGAAAAAATATGGATAGCTTTAGAAAAGGAAATTGATTCTTTATGTAATGAAAAAACAACACATTCAGAAATTACACAAACAGAAAGGGGTAAAGAAAATACTGTTATAAAATAACATTTTGTATAGTATTGAATATAAGTTAGTTGTATAATTGTATTAG